ACAATCAGCAAAAATCCAGACTCTGCAGGTCTAACGCTTTAGGTTCTTCAACAGATAAAATTTAAATGAAAGAAAGGGATGGAGGGGAAACTTGTATATTCAGAGACTTAAAAAACTAGTCAAATTTTTAATAATGGGCAAGACTAAACTGTGGCATTCAGGAATGCAGGATTGGGTGGTAAAACTATACAGAAACAGAAGAAAGTGATTACTATAACCAGAATACTGGTTATTTTGTGGAAGGAGGAAAGAGGTTGACATAGGGATGGGGCACATGGAAACACTTCTGGGATAGTTAAGCAAAGTTCTTTCTTGAGTGATGGTTACAAGGTTGCTTGCCTTACTGTAATTCACTAAGCTATAAATTTGTTTGGTGGTTTTATGTTTGTGTTGTACTTTAGAGTAAAAACAAAACAAAACAAAAAAACCTGGGGCGCCTGGGTGGCTCGGTCAGTTAAGCGTCTGCCTTTGGCTCAGGTCATGATCCCAGGGTCTTGGGATCAAGCCCCGTGTCAGGCTCCCTGCTCAGTGGGGAGCCTGCTTCTCCCTCTCTCTCTCTCTCAAATAAATAAATTAAAAAAAAAAACTTTATATTGGGCGCCTGGGTGTCTCAGTTGGTTAAGCGACTGCCTTCGGCTCAGGTCATGATCCTGAAGTCCCGGGATCGAGTCCCACTCGGGCTCCCTGCTCAGCGGGGAGTCTGCTTCTCCCTTGGACCCTCTCCCTCTCATGCTCTATCTCATTCTCTCTCTCAAATAAATAAAATAAAAAAAAAACTTTATATTAAAAAAAACCACTTCACCTGATAAATGCACAGTTATGCTGAGGCAATAAAGGACACCAAATAGATGGAATACAATAGGATGTGAACAGGACCCAAAGAATAAGAGAGCGAGAAATTCAGAAGTCAAAGAGTGGAATTATCTTGGGAATGCTTCATGAAGAGTTGAAACTTGACTTGTCTTAAAACCTGACAGATCACTGTCACATGAAAAGGAAAGAGACTGCACCATCTAGAAAAAGAGGGATGCACAATGCATAAATGATAAGACTGATATATGGCTAACGGGGGAATTAATTCAAAAGAGGACTTCGAACAACTGTGAAACCAAACCCAATCCTTTTTTGGGGGGGCTGAAAAAGATATACATACATATAAGCTCGCACAAGCAAAAAGTATTTCTGAAAGGGCACACAAAAACTGTTAACAGCACATGTTCTAGGGCAGTGGGCTTACACATTCAAATTGGAGGGAGGTTTATCATATCCCCCTTTCTACCATTTTCATTTACTATGCGCTTATATTAGTTTTCAAAAATAAAACATTTAAAGCTTGTCTCTGTGGAGAGGATGTATACAGAGAAAAACGTGTAGGGATTCATTCAACAGACCTGTGAGCAACAAGATTTGATCCATCTTATTGACAGCTGCTAAATTATCTACTTTATGTGAAGTACTGGTGACACAACCGTGAGTAAAACCAAAAAAGAAACAAACAAAACCCTGTCCTTAAATTGTTTACCTTCTAGTCTGAATGTGTGTGTCAGGGGACATTTTTACATTTAACTTCATCTACATTACTACATTTGAGAGAAATTTAGGGCTTTCACAATAAAAATATAAACAAAACCGTTTAGCTAACCAAGTTCCCCAAAATGTTGGTTTTCTTTCACAAAAGGCAATCATGTATGACGACTTTATAAGCAATCTGAGTATAAATAAGCACAGTGTAAACTGGATAAAATCTACTTTTAAAAAAAGTCTTGAACAAATTTCTATTGCAAAGACTCTTCTTAAAAATTACAATGGCAGAATGCTGTCTTATCAAAGAACAGGGACTATGGGCATTTCTGTAGATGGATACAAGAATAGCTTTTCTTATTTAAGCCTTTACAGGGGGAGGAAAGGAATGCAAAAAGAACATCTGCAAATTTTCAAATGACATCTACTAGTCACTAGTCAGGTCAACTGAGAAAGATTATAAAGATTGTAAGCAAAAAAAGGTAAACAAATTTTAGCACAAGCAAAAAATACAAGTTTGCTTATGTGTAGCAGCTGACTAATCTAACTCAAATGTATAAAATGAAACATAGATATGATCTAGATGATGTATTCTTCAAAGTCATTATAGTTATTCCTTAAAATCATCAGTCCTGAATACTGTCCTTAACTGTGTACTCTTGGAACCTTAGCAGAAGTACAGTAAATAAAAACTACAATACATTTAAATCTGGCAGATTATACACAGTTCTGAATGCTGCAGCTCAAAATAAGAGGCAATGGAACTAAGGAAAGTTAAGAGAAGATGAAAATGACCATGTGATTTGGAGAGGCGCTATGAGAATAGACCGTGACCACTAAAAACACTGAGAAAACAGTATGCTATTTAAGATCTGATCTTAAGAGAATTCATTAGACTTGGAATTAATATAAGAAACAAATCCATCATGAACTTGACTAACCAAATTAATGAACAGAGTTTCTAAGAGAAACTGGGTCAATATTTATTCTAAGATTGACACTGTAGAGGATGTTATCCCACAGTATAGAACTTGGAGGCGCTGTTGGCGCCAGGGCTTTCATACTTTACTAGATTTATCTTGAGCTTGATGCTGCAAGGCCATTCTTTAATTACTAACCCCAATTACATAAACCTCACTGCATCCAGTGAGCAAAGGATAGACTTATCTAATTAGGTTACATATAACAGTCATTTACTGCAGACAGTGATCCAACCCTCCAAGAGATACTGACAATAAAACTCAATGATAAAAGACAGTTTCTGGGTCACTAACACATGTTGATGCTGATTTTATTCTTAAACAATAGCACTTAAGATTTAGGGGATATTTTACTTTTAAATTAGTCAATGTGGGAAAACACAATGAATCCACATGAACATTAAACATTTTAATATAATTAATGCATGGTGTTTATTAAAAAACTAGATATAGTTTGTCCCTAGCATCTTAAATTTAAGCTTGTTAGGGTTTAATTTACTGAATGGTGTTCAGTTTATTTTGCGGTGAAACTCATGCTTTTTGTAGTTTCCTATGACATTCCATTATAACCCTACAAGAAAAAATTTCCCAATGATGTGGGGGGAGTATGAATTTAAAAGTGACTCACATTCAATTTGAGACCACCCCCTTCACCCTAAAAGAATAGGGGAAAAAAAAAGATAAAAGAGTGAGGCTGTGCAATTGATGCAAGCGCATCAGTACAAATATTAAAACCACTTTTGATACAATAGCAAAGGTAAAAAAGACAACAATTAGATATGAAGGGTGCAATGTTACTTTTTCAAATAGAAATTAACATCAGATTTCAATTGCTAATAACAATTTAATGTAAAATGCTGAAGTTTACCTTTGTACATATATAAGACACTAAGTGGTGTAATAAAAATACTTTGGCTTTTTATTGAATGATGGCATTTAAGTAAATCAGTTAAAGAATGCAAATGACCTGGGCTTCACCAGTCAATTTAAAGTTAAAGCTGTGAATTTTGGCTGTAAGCAAGATATCTGTTTTAAAGCACACCAACCAGGCCATAGAGACAAATTATGAAAGAGTGAGGGTTCAAAAAGAGAAGTATAGTCTTGTGGTGAGATCATTTACTGGGAGTAGAAAGTAGGCCTGTTTCAGCAAATGGGACATCTGTAGCCACATCAAGAATTTCCAGAACTATTTTGACTTGTGACTTCTACCGGCATTTTCCAGGACTACTTAAGGAAAGTCACATTTGTATTAGCATTCATTAGTTTACCACTGCCTTCGGAGCCAATTTAAATAAAAATGTCATTCTCTCAATCTAAATGTTATTGCCAAAAAGGCTTCCTCTCTCTTCCATAACACTATCACTGACCTAAGTTCTGTGCACAAGAAATAACTAGGAAAATGGAAACAGAACAAGAATCACGTAGATTTAAAAGAGAAAGAGAAGAAAAGAAGCCTGCAGGAGACCAAAACGCCTTATGAACCGAAGAGATTAAAACAGGTATCAATCTAAGCTATGAAGCTGTTCCTTCCAATTAGAAAAAAGTATTTTAAGGACCTTTCAAAGATTGTTTTCTTAGCAAAAAGGTCTTAATGACAATCTACAAAAAGCATAAAGTCTTCCACGGTCCATTTTTTTCTACACACACCTTTCAGAATAGCATTCTAAAAACAGCTGTGATAAAAAAAGCAAAAAATATAGTGACAATTAAAACAGTTAAGTATTTCTAATGGGCAATTCTGTTAACGGATGCAACACAGTATGCATATTACTCTGAAAAGAACAGACCCCAAACTCACACCTTTCACAAGGTAAAATAAAAATTTCAACTCAACAGTATTAACTCAATTCTTCAAGGTTTACAAGTTATGTTCTTTAGTCCTGGAGGATAACTTTTACTTCAAAACTGGTTATACATATACACACCTCTGACAATATATGTGTGAATTCAGGCAAATTTGATGTCTTAGTCACCAAAATTTAGACTACTAATGATGTGATAAAGAGGAACGTTGATACCTTAAGAAATTGTTAGTAAATGAAATATTTCTGCTAACCATTTAACTTTCAAAGTGTCATTTAAAAAGAATGTCACAATTAAGCCCAATTCACAGTATTTCAAACAGAAGGAGTCCAACACATTTAAGATGTACAACAGAATGACTAGGCCAAATTACACTGTACATTACAATGTGAAATTATTCAAAAGTATAAAATTTAAACGAATACCGATGTAATAACTCTGAGTAAATAAACGTTTATTACTTTTTAGCTCAAAAATCTGGCAAAAGCCTTAACACAGTGCCCGGCAGCTTGTCATCACAAATTAAAAAACAAACCAGAAACATTTTGCGTTTCAAGCGAAACGTTTATCACGCGGTTTACCTTCACAATTAATTTACAACACTAAATCCAAAAGTAAAATCCACGACCAACTTTTTTTTGCGTATCCATTTACCTCAAAATTTGGTTATGGTAAAAACAATAAAATAGTACTTACATTTCTATTGAATTTGGTGAAAGAATGATGCATATAAAACCTGTGCATATAAACAATCGCAGTGTTTATTGTAAGCTGAGAGCTGGAACGTAACATTTAGGAAATATCCGAGAAAAACAAGATCTAATTTCCAAAACAATTTTGATGGAAAATTCCCGATCTACGGTGTTTTTCCAATGCTTACCGTTCACTCAAAACCAACCTCAAAACTATATATATATGTGTGTGTGTCTGTCTGTGTGTATATATATATATATAATAAAACGCTGCAAGGTGGTGGTAGGCTCGACGCCAACAGTAAAAATAAGTGCTGAGCATTTCACTCCAATGTTGCTATTAAGCAAGCCCGGGAAGGATTTATCAATGGCTAGGACTGACTAAGCTCAACATCAGACAGTTGAAACGCGCGCGCGCACACCCATACAAAACCACGCCAAGAACATAAAGACCTCCAGTGAGCTCCCAAGGTACGAGACCCGCCATCAAACCAGCGAGGAGCACGGGGAGAGGCTGCGGAGAACACTTAACGCCTTTCAGCATCGGTAACCCTCCTACCTCTCGACCCCATTCTCCGACTAGAAGTCGAAGTAGCCACCTCTTTTCTGCGATAATCCCTAAAATTCCCTTCTGGCCTCCGCGCCACTCCCATCCCCCGCCACCACGCGCGGCCCCAAACAGATTACACAACGCAGCTTCCCAGCCCGCATTCCCGGACTCCTCTCCTTCCCTTTTTCATTGGCCGCTTGCGGCCTCCCGAGCCCGAGCCTGCCTTCCCTTACAGCGCAGCCGAGGCCCAGAGAAGGCCGAGGCGGCGGCGCCATGTTCGCGGGGCAGCAGGCCCGGCGACCAGGCAACCAGACGAATAGTAAGGGGGGACAGGGCGTGAGCGGCGGAGGGCCAAGAATAGGAAAGGATACACATTGAGACGCTGTCCCATGTCCTGGATAAGGTTGGCCGCCTGCTGGCGGTATGAGAGCTCTTTATCCGCCTCCACTCCGCAGCGGCGGCTCGGTGTATTCTCCAGCTGTTCCCGAGTAAAGAACCAGCGAGAAGAAGCTCCACGGCCCGACGCCATGACACTTCCTCCTCCGCCCGCTCCCTCACCCACCCCCCTCCCCTCCCGGCTCGCGGACTCCCCGCCAAGGCCGTGCGACCCCGCCCCACTCCGCTCGCCGTAGACCACGCACCGCCCCTTTTCACCCCCGCCGCCGCCCGTGCGCGTGCGCAGGGGCCGCCCTACCGGCTCGCCCCAGTCTTTTGCTTTCTTTTTCCTGTCCCCGGTCTCGCTCTCACGCTCGGGACCACAATGCCCCGCGCCGCTTGTCATTTGGAGGCGCCCGAAGGTGGGGGGTCGGCTGGGAAGGAAAAGGCCGGCGCGATGCATGCCGGGTCTAGGATTGGGCAGGAGAGGAGCGAAGGGGCTGGCCCTAGGTCGCGTGGAGAGGGAAGGCGGGCAGGCGGCTGCGCAGTGCGACCTGGGCGTGGACTTTGAAGTCGGGGCGGGCTCTTGGGCCGGGAGTCTGGCGGCGCTTTAAGAAAAGCTCTGCCCTGTCGCACGCGCACGTCGTAGCCTCCATTTTCCTCCAGCTGTAATCTGCGCAGTCTCGTAGGCTTTCTTGGGAGTTGTCCACGATGGAAAGCCTCCGCCTACAGGCGGCTCTGGGAGGGACGCACCTGGAAGAGCGCAGAAAAAACAGCGCTCCACGGTTGTGTTGGACTTGAATTCCCCAGCCAGTTAGGCTGTGGGACTTAATTTTGAGATGTCTGGCCAAAGGTTATAAAGTTAGAGGAGCTGAATTTTTAAACTAGATTTGTAGGCCATATGGGTAGTGTGTTTTTAAACCAAGCTATGATTTAAAACAAGGTTAAGGAGGAAGAGATAAACGTGTTACAGTTAAAACTGTAACACCGCACGTATCAACTGATTAACCGCTTCTGTCCTTGTAAGAGAGTACGGCAGAGCTCCGTTCTGGGAGTAGGTAGGTCTCTGGCTCTGAGCCAATGCCTATTGTGTGTGAATAAAATCTGCCTTTTAAAATTTTAACTATTTAAAAAAACAAAATTGTAACTATTTGCCAGAGACAGAATACAGGCAGACATTTTTCTAAAAGGCAACTGATAATGCTTTTAAGTGAGTTCCTGGTAAATACTCCAGGCGTTTGTCCTTGTTTTTGGGCTCCTATGCCCAGTGTACCGCTGTCCCTTTGCTTTGCTTGCCCCTGTTAAGTATTCTATATAGAGCTATTGATTTGGTTGCAGTAGGCAGTTTGGAATAGTTGTCTGCGTAACTGTATTTCTTACCTCCCTTGCTTGCTTCCCATCTGTCCCTGCTTAGAGAATTAATAGGATAGATTGATTTAAAGCAACATTTATAGGTGCTTACTCCAACACTCATTTATGATTAAAAACTAAAAAACTAGGAATAGAAGAGAACTTACTCAACTTGATAAAGAAAATTTATAAAAAACCTCCAGTTAGCATCATACTTAATGGTGAGAAACTAGAAGCTTTCCTGCTAACAAGGGTGTCCCCTCTCACCACACCTTTCAACATTGTACTGGAAATCCTAGCTAATACAGTAAGAAAAGTGAATAAAAAATGAACAGATTGAGAAGGTAAAAAAATGGTTTGTTCAGGGATGACATAATTGTGTTTGTAGAAAATCTCAAAGTATTAAAAATGTGGAGGGGTGCCTGGTTAGCTTTGTCCGTTAAGTGTCCAATTCCTGATACCGTCTCAGGTTTGATCTTGGGGTGGTGAGTTTGGGCTCCGCGCTGGGCATGGAGCGTACTTAAAATGTAGAACCGGTGATTATGGCAAGATCTTAAGATACAAGGTTAATACACAGGAATCCAATTGAAATTTGAAATTTAAAGTATAATATCATTTACAAAAAGTAGTACTTAGAAATGACTCTAAATATGTACAGCATCTATGTGTAGAAAACTACAAAACTCTAAGGCAATCAGAGAAGATATAAATGGAAGAATATTCTGGGTTTATGGATTGGAAGACATTATCATTTGGAATCAGTTCTTTCCAACTTGACCTATAGATTCAACGCAATCCCAAAGTTTTAGCAAGTTATTTTGTAGATATCAATAAATTGATTCAAAAGTTTATATAGAAAAGCAAAAGAACCCCAAATAGCCAGCACAATCCAAAGAAGTTGGACTGATACTGCCTGACCACAAAGCTACAGTAATAATGAGAGCATATATTGGCAAAAGAATAGATCAATGGAACAGAATAGAGACCCCAGAAATAGACCCACAAAAATAGTCAAGTGATCTTTGACAAAGGAGCAAAGGCAATTTAATAGAGAAAGGATAGTCTTTTCAACAAGTGATGCTAGAACAACTGGATATCCATATGCAAAAAAAAAAAAGAAAAAAAAAATCTAGACACAGACCTCACACCGTTCACAAAAATTAACTAAACGGATCATGTCCCTAAATGTAAAATTCAAAACTATAAAGCTTCTAGAAGATGGCACAGGAGAAAATCTAGACAACCTTTTGTTTGGCAATTATTTTTACATACAACAGCAAAAGCATGATCCATTAAAGAAAAGATTAAGTTGGATTTCATTAGAATTAAGGACCTTTGCTCTGTGAAAGACACTGTAAAGAGAGTGAGCAGACAAGGAGAAAATCTTTGCAAAACACACATCTGATAAAGGACTTGTATCCAAAATATAAAAGAAGTCTTAGAATTCAACAGGAAGAAAACATCCCAATTTTTAAAAACTGAAGCAAAATTAACATACAATCTTATATTAGTTTCAGGTGTAGAACATGTAGGTTCAACAATTCTATACATTACTCAATGCTCACCACAATAAGTGTAGTTATCTGTTACCATACAACATTATTACAATATTATTCACTATATTCCCTATGATGTACTTTTTATCTCAGTGACTTACTTATTTCATAATGGAAAGTTTGTACCTCTTAATCCCCTTTATATATTTCACTCATCTCTCCCACAAGCTTCCCCTCTGGCAACCACCAGTTTGTTCTCTGTAAGAGTCTGTTTTGTTTGTTTTTAGATTCCACATATATGTGAAATCATACTGTATTTGTCTTTCTCAGTATATTTCACTTGGCATAATGTCCTTTATATCCATCTATGTTGTTACAAATGGCAAGATCTCACTCTTTTTTATGGCCAAGTAATATTTGATCGTGTGTGTGTGCGCGCGCCATCTTATTTATCCACTCATCTATCTATGGACACTTGGGTTGCTTCCATATCTCGGCTATTGTAAATAATGTCGCAATTAACATAGGGGTGCATATATCTTTTCAAATTAATGTTTTCATTTTCTTTGGGTAAATACCCAGTAGTGGAGTTACTGGATGATGTGGTATTTTTATTTTTAACTTTTTTGAGGAACCGCCATACTGTTTCCCACAGTGGCTGTACCAGTTTACCTTCCCACTGATACTGCATGAGAGTTCCTTTTTCTCCACATCCTCACCAACGCTTGTTATTTCTTGTGTTGATTTTAGCCATTCTGACAGGTGTGAGATAACATCTCATTGTGGTTTTGATTTGCATTTCCCTGATGATGAGTGATGTTGAGCATCTTTTCATGGGTCTGTCTGCCATCTGTAAGCCGTCTTTGGAAAAATGTCTCTTCAGGTCCTCTGCCCATTTTTAATTGGATGATGATTAGTATTATATTGGTGTTGACTTGTATAAGTTCTTTATGTGTTTTGGATATTAACCCCTTATTGGATATATCATTTGCAAATATCTTCTCTCATTCACTAGGTTGCCATTTTGTTTTGTTGATGGTTTCCTTCACCATGCAAAAGCCTTTTATTTTGATGTAGTCCCAATAGTTTATTTTTGCTTTTGTTTGCCTGAGAAGACATCTCTAGAAAGATATTGCTAAGGTCAGTGTCCAAGAAATTACTGCCTATGTTTTCTTCTAGGAGTTTTATGGCTTCAGATCTTTAATCCATTTTGAGTTTAGTTTTGTGTATGGTGTGAGCCAGTGGTGGGGTTTCACTGTTCGGCATGTAGCTGTCCAGTTTCCGCAGCACCATTTAGTGAAGAGACTGTCTTCCTCATTGTATATTCTTGCCTCCTTGATTATATGTTAATTGACCATGTAAGCATGGGTATTCTGTTCCATTGATCCATGTGTCTATTTTTTATACTGTTCTGATTATTACAGCTTTATATTATATCTTGAAATCTGGGATTGTGATACTTCCAGCTTTGTTCTTTCTCAAGCTTGCTTTGGTTGTTCCAGGTATTTTGTGGTTTTATGCAAATTGTAGTATTGTTTGTTCTAGTTCTGTGGAAAACACCATTGGTATTTTTGTTACTGTATCCAAGTTTGGCTGCTTGAAAGGCCATTACTGAAGAGACAAACTTTGATTGCAAGGGAATTTGAGCTTTATTCACAAGGCCAGCAACCTGAGGAGAAAACAGACCCTTGTCCAAAAGCTAATGCCAAGGTTTCTGCCTGGCCCTGGGGTTTTTAAAGGGATTTAGAGTGGTTAATCAGCAAAGGGAGTGCAGTGACCTGCAACATTTCTTGATTACATGAAGACTTGATGATGCCAGCTCTAAAAGTTATCTCAGTGTTTGGGGACTGTGTGATGGGGTCTGGTTCTTGTTTCATCATGTGTAGGAGTACTTTGTTCCTTCGCAGATGAGGGCCAGGTTTACAGATACACAAAGGGAGGTCAGTAAAATCATTTGTGTGACCTAAAAAAAGAAAAAAACATTTTGTTAAAAAACTTTTAGGCTAATCAGAAAGCTGCGTTGGCTTCAAACAGAATTTTTGGCTTCTGTGGCTTGGGAAAGTTCTGATCCTTCACTCCTCAAGGCCAGTGGTTTGCAAATCTCAAAGAAAGTAGATTAGTTCTGTCACAAATCAAGGGTCTTAGGCCAGCAAATGAGGAGTGTGTCAACTTGAAGCAAGTTAACCCTTAAGATCAGCTGGAATGCTGTTACATTTTGATAGGGATTGCATTAAATTTGTAGATTGCTTTGGGTAGTATGGACATTTTAACAATGTTGATTCTTCCAATCAGCATGGGATATCTTTCCATTTGTGTGTGTCATGTTTTATAGTTT